GCAGGGCCAGCCAAGAGTTGGATTTGGGGGTTCTCTGAACTGCACAGAATCTTAGCTAGAGGTTCTCCTGAACCCCTGTGAACCCCCAGCAGCCCCACCCCTGTTGAAAGCTTCTGTTCGGCTTATGGAGATAGGAGAAGGGACTGAGGTTTTTTTGGATAAGTTGGCAATCAAGAGTTCCTTTGCTTTTGGTGGTTATACGTAGATCCTCGTTCACACCTGCATTTTTCCTTAGCAGCTAAGGTTTCTACAAATGATGTTGCGATGTGGAGACTCTAGAAAGAGTGCAGAGAAGATCAACAAAGAGGATTTTAGGGGACTGAAGGCTAAAACATACGAAGAACGGTTGCAGGAACTGGGTATGTCTAATTTAATGAAAAGAAGGACCAGGGGAGACATGATAGCAGTCTTCCAATATCTCAGGGGCTGCCCCAAAGAAGAGGGAGTCAAGATATTCTCCAAAGCCCCTGAAGGCAGGACAAGAAGCAATGGCTGGAAACTAATCAAGGAGAGAAGCAACTTAGAATTAAGGAGAAATTTCCTGACAGTGAGGACAATGAATCAGTGGAACAACTTGCCTCCAGAAGTTGTGAATGCTCCAACACTGGAAGTTTTGAAGAAGAGGTTGGATAACCATTTGTCTGAAATGGTGTAGGGTTTCCTGCCTAAGCAGGGGGTTGGACTAGAAGACCTCCAAGGTCCCTTCCAATAGAATAACATTCTATTCTAAATGCAAAGGGGGGGAAAAAAAACCCTGTATTTTGCAAAGAAGAAACCCTTTCCTCAAAGTTGCAGCTTTTAATGGAAAAGAAAGATGTTGCCTGCATGGGCTGTAGATCTAGAGAGCTATCAGCTCGGTTTTATCCAATTTCAATTAAATTTGAATAAAAGCCAGAGTGGTACAGTGGTGAAGGTGTAAGATTGATTGGGAATAGCCAGGTTCCAGTTGAACATCAGCCTTGCAAGCTTCCTGGATCACTTAGCTAGTGGTGATTTGAGCCTTAAAATATGTCGCAGAGGAATTTTGCAAAAAGAGCGATCTGTATCAATACAGATCCATGGAGGCAGGTAGGCAGGCTAATTATTTCGGAAGGCCAGTAGGTTATTTATCATTATTATTGTTTAATTTATTTGCTGCCTATCTCGCCACGGCGCTATTCTATGCAGCTTACAACAATAAAAAGGAAGAAATGAAGAGTGTAAACAGAAGTAAAATAATAAAACAATAAAATAAACAATCAAAAAAGAACACAAAGAGAACACGTCAATACAATAAAAAGACGGATGGGTAGACAGCAGTTATAGCAGTTAAAGCGGTTAAGTCACTAGACTAGGAACAGAAAGATTCTAGTTCTGATCCACCATCAGCCATGTAGAAGACTGGAGATACAGATACAGGTAATCCTCAATTTACGACCAAAATTGGACCATAAAATTCATTGTTAAGCAATGCAATCATTAAGTGAGGCATCACATGTCTACACCCTATTTTTACAATCTTTTTTTGCCTGCGGTCATTAAGAAAGGCATCGCATGACTGTGACTAGTGATGTTCGGTTGGCTTCCCCGTTGACTTGACTTGTCAGAGACCACTGAGAAGGTAGCAAAAGGCTGTTCATGGGACACACACACACACACTCCGGATGCTGCAACTGTCCTAAATATCTGCCAGTTGCCAAGCACCCAAATCATCATTGGGTGACCACAAGGCTATTGCGATGGTCACAAGCGTTGTTTTGCCTGCTTTGTTGTGCTTTTTTGATGATGCATCTATCTATCTACCTATCTATTGTATCTATCCTACTTATATGGCTGCCCATCTCACAAGGGAATGACTCTGGTCAGCATACAGCTGTGAATTAAAAAGAAAAAAACAATAAACGTATAAAATTGTCATCATTAAAAGCTATTAAAAACTATAAAAATAATATTTAGTAATGTTGCTTAAAGAGCTCTGAAGGAAAGGGAAGGGGAAGGAGATAAAAGGGATACATCTAGATTTTGCTTGATTTCTTTTTCCCCCCATCTGTCTTTTATCTATATCTATCATAGTTGATATTGAAACTTGGAAGCCTTATCATCATCTCCTCACTCACAGTCTGGAGAAAAGTGAGTTTCATATAACGTTTCTGCTCTGAAAAAGCCACTTCTTTTTGCAGGCTGTTATTCCCAATATTTTTGCTTTACTGTACTGTCATCCTTTTCACTGGAGATGGTAGGATTCAAACCCTGGACCAATCATCCCTCTCCCATCCCCTCAAGCAACCAAGAAGGGGAGCAATTCATCAGATAATAACTTGACTGGCTGACACCAGATCCTTGTTAACTGCTCATCTCTCAGCAGGCAAGGGACAAGCATTGCCTTGCTCTGTGACCTGTGAATTATCACCTTCAATGCTTGACAGAAAATTAGCCCATCCTAGCTGTATTTCATCCTACTTAAGGCTTGGTGCCACTTCTTATTCTTGGAATAATTGAGGGATTTATTTATTCACCCTCAAAATGCTCTGGAAACATTATTGAAGCAAGGCCGTTGAGGGAGCTTCAAATTTAAGCTTCAAATTCAAATCTTTAAAGCAAGGGTGTCCAACTTTGGTAACTCTTAAGACCCGTGGACTTCAACTCCCAGAATTCCCCAGTTCCATGCCCCCATCTCTCCTGACCCGCCAAGTGGGGTGGATCAAATACTGGTAGATAGCTAGGCTAACACACAGATGGAGGGAAGGAGGGAGAGAGAGAGAGAGAGAGAGAGAGAGAGAGAAATTTATTTATTTATTTATTTGCCATATTTCTATGCCGCCCACTCTCCGAGGACTCTGGGCGGCTTACACCAAAGACAGTATACTAAATAGCATATTGCCCCCTAACAATCTGGGTCCTCATTTTACCCACCTCGGAAGGATGGAAGGCTGAGTCAACCTTGAGCTGGTGAGATTTGATCCGCTGATCTGCTGAACTAGCAGTCAGCTGAAGTAGCTGCAGTACTGCACTCTAACCACTGCGCCACCTCGGCTCATTTGCTTTCCTCAACTCATCCCAAGTCAGAAGAGCAATTGGCAGTTTAACAGATTAACAGATCTAGTCCAAACCCACCCACCCAAACAGGAAGACCCTACACCAGCATTTCTGACAGAGGGCAATCCAATCTCTTCTTGAAAGCCTCCGGTGATGAAGCTTCCACAATTTGGGAATTATATCGCCAAACTTTTGGTGCCATGCTGAGCTTGTCAGCTGGTGGGTTGACAGTCCAGTTTGAGACCCAGGTTCATTGCAATGGGGTGAGTTCCCATTCCTTGCCCCCAGCTCCTTTCCACATAGCGGTTCAAAAGCATGCAACTGTGAGTAAATAAATAGGCACCACTTTAATAGGATGGTACAGCATTCCATGCATCTTTGGCATATAGCCATGCTGGCCACATACCACAGAAATTGTCTGCGGACAACGCTGGATCCCTCAGCCAAGAAACAGAGATGAGCAACATGCCCTTGAGTTGGACATAACTGGAGTGGAAAAACTTTAGACCCGTGGTGGCGCAGTGGTTAGAATGCAACACTGCTGGCTATTTCTGTTGCCTGCCGTCTGCCCGCAATTTGGCAGTTCAAATCTCACCAGGCTCAAGGTTGACTCAGCCTTCCATCCTTCCGAGGTTGGTAAAATGAGGACCCAGACTGCTGGAGGCAATAGGTTAATTTCCTTCCTTCCTTCCTTCCTTCCTTCCTTCCTTCCTTCCTTCCTTCCCTCCCAGTGGTTAGAATGCAGTATTGCAGGCTATCTCTGCCGACTGTAAACTGCTTAGAGAGGGCTGTAAAAGCACTATGAAGCGGTATATAAGTCTAAGTGCTAATTGCTATTTACCTTTATCTTTATTTTAGTGCTACCTTAAAGCCTGGAGAAAACACGTTGAAGGAACTGTCTGGCTCAACCCAGAGAAAAACAGCAGGGGCTCCTCAGACTGCTACATAATTGTATTTTTTATCCAGTTTTATCCAATCATAAAATTAACCGAGCGTGGGCCTCCTTCCAAGGGTTGGCCCTGGTTTTGTGGTTGCTATTTTTCAATTAAATACCCAAATATACCCAAACACTGTCCATTAATTATGGAAGTATCTGTGCTCTTCGCTATTGTAGGGCATTCTATTATAGTTAGGGTAGGTATTGTTTGATTTTATTTGAAAATAATTGGTTGCATTGTGTTGATTAAGTTGTGAATTAATTCTCTTGGTTGGAATTCTGGGATTTTTAAGTTCTCCTTTGGGACTCTACCTCAGTAAATATTTATTAATACTTGTTGTTACTTGTAGTAATCCTACTAACCATTTCTGTCCTATTGTTAGTTGCTAACCTGTTGGGATTTGGTTTAAAAAAAAAAAACCCTCAACCAAACAAAGGCATAGCTCTCCAAAAATCAGTAAGTCTTCAAGGACCAAATTAAAACGAGAAATCGGATCTGTCCAAAAGGGACTTTTTACAGGACCAGGTTAGTTTGGCCAACTGTCAAGTGTCAACTGCAAAACTCATCTCGGATTTCATCCCCTCAAAAGGTGTAGGGAAGTCCAACAGGTGGGAAGTGATCGTTTCCACTGAATTCCTTCTAATTTGAAAAGTACGGAACCACATCCTGTACATCCCCTAACAGTTTTCACTAAATCAAGGGTTTTACAGACCACAATGGGTCTACTCTCACAATGTGCTTGCTCCACCATCAAACGTAGGACCAACTGCTCAGTCTTTTGTCTGAAGGTGGCCATGAATACCACGCGAAGGAGAAAAACACACACATGCACAAATTCCTTTCTAGTCTAACGTGTTGGGCTGGATTTCTCTCCACCCCAGGGTTAACCAGGCCCTGTTGAGCCTTCTGGGGGGGGAAGAGGGTCAGCTACATGCTGGGACTTCCTGTGAGCAGATCCTACAGCCGGCTCCCCTAACATCCTCCCAAAGAAATGTGCGTTATTGAAAATGAGAGGGGTGCTAGGACCCAGGAGGAAGACCAGGAAAGTGTGTGAGAGTGAGTGAGTGTGTGGGATACAGTTGGTGTGTGTGTATTTGAAGGTGGGCACAGCGCCTCCAGTTGGGAAGAGGCATATTAACCCTTTGCCTGACCGGTGGCTGTAATTGCCTCCTCCCTCCCTCCCTCCTTCCTTTCTTCTTCTTCTTCTACCTCCTCTACCTCCGCCTCCTCTTTCTCCCTTCTGCCACCCTCTCTGCCCCACCGCTGGAAGGTCCATGTGCTGCCAGCTGGGCTGAGTTCCTCCCTCTCCAGTGACAGGTGCCCAGCCGTCTTCAGTGGCAGAGGCTGGGATGTGGAACAGCCGATCCCGGAGCCCGACTCTGCCTCCCCGCCTACTAACCCGGCTCGGCTCGGCAACCCAACAGGAGCAAGTCAATGGAGCAGGATTACATTCACATGTATAATGCTTCCTTGCGTGGCTGCGGCTTAGGATACGCGCCCATCGTTTATTACAGTCTCCTGCTGTGCTTGGGGCTCCCGGGTAAGATATTTCTCTTTCTTTCTCTCCCTCCTACCTTCCTTCCTTCCTTCCTTCCTTCCTTCCTTCCCTCCCTTTCTCCCATCTTTCATTTTCTCTTTCTTTCTTTTCCTTCCTTCCTCTCCTTTCTTTTCTTCCTCTTTCTCCTTTCCTTCTTCCTTCCTTCCTCCTCCCTTTCTCCCATCTTTCATTTTCTCTTTCTTTCTTTTCCTTCCTTCCTCTCCTCCTTTCTTTTCTTCCTCTTTCTCCTTTCCTTCATTCCTTCTTTCCCTCCCCTTCTCTTTCCCTTCCTTCCTCTCCTCCTTTCTTTTCTTCCTCTTCCTCTTTTCCTTTCTTCCTTCTTTCCCTTCCTTCCTTCTCTTTCCCTTCCTTCCTTCTCTTTCCCTTCCTTCCTCTCCTCCTTTCTTTTCTTCCTCTTTCTCCTTCCCTCCCTTTCTCCTTTCCCTTCCTTCCTCTCCTCCTTTCCTTCCTCCTTTCCCTTCCTTCCTTCCCTTTCCCTTCCTTCCTTCCTCTCCTCCTTTCTTTTCTTCCTCTTTCTCCTTTCCTTCCCTCCCTTTCTCCTTTTCCTTCCTTCCTTTCCTTCCTTCCTTCCCTCTTAAAACTTATAGACAATCTTTCCCCACCCATTTAGAGGTTCTGCCTACTTCTGGTCTTCACAAAGAAGGTATGAGCGTGGAGATGAGTCCGTTGTCCCTCAAAAGGGGACAGGGGACCAGCTGCCAGCTCAGGCACTTGACTGAGAGCTGTAGACTTTTTCGACTTGAAGTGGGTTTGCCTTAGGAAGTTCTTTTTAGGGTCCATGGTCACTGTTGGGAGTTCCTCCGCTCAGCATTGCTTTATTAATTGTTTTTAAGGTCGGTTTAAGAACTACAGGAGGGGAGCGTAGGATGGTCTCCATCCTCAAGGTTGGGATTGGGGGTGACGGGTGTGCATGAGGAGAGCTTTACTCCAACTTGGGCAAAACCTGGGCAGTTTTGGATTTCAGAAACGTGTTGCTGTTATTGGATGAGGGGAGGAGGCATTCATAACTCATAATGTCAACTAAGATTAGTCTCATTAAGCCTTTTTGAAGTGCCCCTTAGGGACTAGGGGCTTGGATGGTCATTACCCCAGTGTCAGGACAGAGGCCTCCTCGCATTTAATTAGGTTCTGCGGTTGAACCCAAATTCACCCCTTTGGAGAGTTTGGAAGTCACATTCAATCAAGATTGGGGAAGAGGAAGATAAGGGAGGGGGGAACCCCTCCCGGGCTTAGAGAGTCCATTACCAAACCAGCAATTTGCCAGTAGACTGCCTTGACCCTTGGAGGGTTTGCTATTGCCTCGCAGTTAAGTCATCGCTTTTATGACACCGGGTCCTTTGTGAATTAGCCAAACCTTGTTCTCTTCTTTCATTCTTCCTGCCCCACCGCCACTCCCCAAAAAAGTCTGTTCCAAACATCTCCAAAACTCTAACCTTGGCGGGCGAGGAAAAGGCAAAACACCACAATGTCACACACACACACACACACACACACACACACACACACACACACAACAGATGAGCCCATTTACAGCTCTCTTATCTTCCCTTTATCCCAGCACGCCTGGCTGGGGAGGATGGGAGTTGTGATCCAGACGACCTGGAAGAGGCATCTGAACCTGGAGAAGAAAGCAAGGGTGTGATTCCTTGAAGTCCCAGAGCTAGGAAGGGAGGGAGGGAGGGAGGGAGGGGGGGACTTAGCCAGCCCATGCAGCCAGAGAAGAGCCAGAGACGTCCCTCTCTCTCTCTCTCTCTCTTCCCCCTCCTTCCTATTACAATAAATAAATAAATAAATAAATAAATAAATAAATAAATACCCGGCTGAGCTGTCCGTGGTGCTGACACAGCAGGAGCCGTTCGGAGAACGCTCGGGAGCTCACGTTCAAATGTACCAAGAGAGAGTTTTTGAAACAAAACCAAAAAAAAGAAAAGAAACACCTCTCTTGGCAAGCCGAGCGAAGGAGAGATTTATGGGCTGGTTTATTTATTTTATTATTATTATTTTTTTTTTGCTTAGCTTCCCTGCCCCTCCAATCGCAGCCGACCTCTGCAAAACATGGGCTGTCCTTATTATTAATGATATGCATGAAGAGAGAAAACCTAGAAAGGAAGCACTTGGGGAGCGAGAGGGGAAAAAAAAAATTCCGGCAATGTGGATTGATTTTTTTGGGGGGGGGGGAGAGAAAGGATTGTAAGGGTGGGGGCATGTGCCATCCAGCCAATTCTTCAAAAGGCCAAATCCTTCAAGAAGCTGGGTGATGGTCCTGTCTGTGCTATAGAGCGAACCTTTGCAGAGGAGAAATGGTGTTTGTGGAGATAAAGAGGACCGTCGTTTAGTTGATTTCACCCACTGTGATAACAGATAACAGATTAACAGAGTTGGTTGGGACCTTATAGGTCATCTAGTCCAACCCCCCGCTCAAGCAGGAGACCGTATACCATTTCTGACAAATGGCAGTCCAATCTTTTCTTGAAAGTCCACCTTTATTATTTTTTTAATAAACGGTACAAGGTGGTGGACATATCTATTGCTCCTTCCTCCTCCTATTTTCTCCAAAAGCAACAACCTTGTGAGGTGGTTTGGGCTGAAAGAGAGGAACTGGCTGAAAGCCACCCAGATGGCTTTCATGCCTAACGCAGGACTAGAACTCACAGACTCCTGGTAATTGGCCCAAAATCACCCAACTGTCTTTCATGCCAAAGGTAGGACTAGAACTCTCCATCGCCTGGTGATTGGCCCAAAGTCACCCAACTGTCTTTCATGCCAAAGGTAGGATTAGAACTCACAGACTCCTGGTGATTGGCCCAAAGTCACCTACTTGACTTTCATGCCTAAGGCGGGACTAGAACTCCCAGTCTCCTGGTGATTGGCCCAAAGTCACCCAACTGTCTTTCATGCCAAAGGTAGGACTAGAACTCCAGTCTCCTGTGTTTGGCCCAAAGTCACCCAACTGTCTTTCATGCCAAAGGTAGGATTAGAACTCACAGACTCCTGGTGATTGGCCCAAAGTCACCTACTTGACTTTCATGCCAAAGGTAGGATTAGAACTCACAGACTCCTGGTGATTGGCCCAAAGTCACCTACTTGACTTTCACTAAGGCGGGACTAGAACTCCCAGTCTCCTGGTGATTGCCCAAAGTCACCCAACTGTCTTTCATGCCAAAGGTAGGACTAGAACTCCCAGTCTCCTGGTGTTTGGCCCAAAGTCACCCAACTGTCTTTCATGCCAAAGGTAGGATTAGAACTCACAGACTCCTGGTGATTGGCCCAAAGTCACCTACTTGACTTTCATCCTAAGCGGGACTAGAACTCCCAGTCTCCTGGTGATTCCCAAAGTCACCCAACTGTCTTTCATGCCAAAGGTGGACTAGAACTCCCAGTCTCCTGGTGTTTGGCCCAAAGTCACCCAACTGTCTTTCATGCCAAAGGTAGGATTAGAACTCACAGACTCCTGGTGATTGGCCCAAAGTCACCTACTTGACTTTCATGCCTAAGGCGGGACTAGAACTCCCAGTCTCCTGGTGATTGGCCCAAAGTCACCCAACTGTCTTTCATGCCAAAGGTAGGACTAGAACTCCCAGTCTCCTGGTGATTGGCTCAAAGTCATCCAGATGGCTTTCATGCCAAAGGTAGGACTAGAACTCCCAGTCTCCTGGTGATTGGCCCAAAGTCACCCAACTGGTTTTATATGCCTAAGGCAGGACTAGAACTCACAATTTCTTGGTTTCTAGCCTGGTGCCTTAACCATTAGACCAGACTGGCTCTCATAGAGCCTTGGTGGCACAGCAGACTAAAGTGCTGTTGAGTAGCACCAGCTGCCTGCAATTACTGCAAGTTCAAATCTCACCAGGCTCAAGGTTGACTCAGCCTTCCATCCTTTCGAGGTAGGTAAAATGAGGACCCGGATTGTGGGGGCAATAAGCTGACTTTATATAAAAAAATAACACCGCTTGGGGGCCCCCGAAAGCCCTACTAAGCAGGTATATACAAAAGTATGAAGGCTATTGCTTAATGCATTGTAAGCCGCCCTGAGTCTCCGGAGAAGGGCAGCATATAAATCGAACCAATAAATAAATAAAATAAATATATTTTGGTGGGGAGGAGTTAAACTTAGTCCTTGCCCCTGGCTCAAACTAGCTCCCTTACTCTTGAATAGCTTTTCTTCAAGGCTCCTTGTTCAAATCTCTTTTTTACTTCCTTAATACGAACATCCAATCTGGTGAGACCTCAGTGCTTATCTAGACTGACCCCTGTTGATGGAGGTCACCTCTCTTCCAAATGCACTGATTAGAAGGTGGTTTTCAGAACCGAAAGGAAGAAGTTAGGAAAAATGGAAGGGGAAGGATATATACCCATGGACTTCAATTTTGCTCTTTTGGTCTGTATTTTTAGCCCATTTCCCTCCTCCAGCTTCATCAGGGCCATTCATAAATCATTTCTTTGTCCTTTCAAACAAGGCTCCCAATTAAACGAGGCTAGGAGGACGAATGCAATGTCGGGCAGCAAATTTTGTGTCTAACTGGAGTTTAAAACTGGACTCGCCATCATTTGTTTCCTGAGCCACTTTGCCTATATATTTAACCGGTCAGCAATTCTTTTTAAAGCGATGGCATGTGAAAGGCTATATGCAATATGCTTTCTTCTTTTTGGTGTGGAGGACGTAGTACAGAAATAGCTATAGAAAGGAAGCCGGGGAATTATATTGGTTTGACCTTGAGGGAAGCTGGAAAAAAGAAGGGTTTGGTTAACCCGTTTGGCAGTTATTGAGGTGATAATCTTTCCCGTAAGTCCATCTGTTGCTACAAGTTGAACCAAACTTATCAGCCAACTAGCCTCCTTCCTTGGTTTTCTGGCCAGTAATGAAATCATGAAATCCAAGAGATCAAGAATATGCCAATCTGGAAAAACTGAACTCTGCTCATCTCAAGGAAACACGGCCATTATATAACTGTAGTCCCTCTGGAAGTTGGGGGGCAGTCAAG